GTGCCGTCGAGTCGGCCCCGACTCATAGCGACCCCTCCTTGGGTTTCCAAGGCAGTATCACTACGGAAGTAGGATTGCCCAACCTTCCTTCCGAAAATTCAGACTGGGAGGAGAGGAGATGGTAGAGGAACAGTGATGAATATTTTAAGATATTCAGTGGCTCATTCCACTACTTTATGAGCAATCTGAGATTCTTTCAATGTGAGACGTCTCTGAAATCAGCACAAAGTCTTGAGACAACAGAGAAAATGATACGATGATGATAATAATAAATAATATATAAATAACTATTTTTAAAAAAAGAATTTATGCATTTGAATTGTGCTGTTGACAAAGAATGTTGACTACAATGTGGACTGTCAGAAGAATGAACAAATCAGATTTGGAGGTGGTGCAGCCAGAATGCTCCTTAGAAGCAAGAATGGCAGGACTTTGTCTTGCTTGCTTTGGACATATCATCAAGAAAGACCAATCGCTAGAAAAGTACATCATTCTTTGTAAAGTGGAAGGTCAACAAAAACAAGAGAAACCTTCCAGGAGATGGATTAACAAAATAGTGCAACAGTGGGCTCAGTCATGCCAGCAACAGTGACGCTGGCTCAGGACCCTGCAGTGTCTTGTTCTTTACACACAAACTCGCCATGAGTTGGAGCCAACTTAATGGCAGCTAATAACAGCAACAGAGTATTGGTTAGGTGTCAGTGGAAAAGAGCACACCATCATCTCCCTATTTTAATCTTGTTGTATAAAGTGCAGTTGGCTTAAAATAAATATCAAGGCCAGAATTGGAGAAAAGCCTTTACAAAAGGAGCATGTGGCCTTGAATAAAAAATTGGGGTAATACCATTTACTCTGGCTTGGTTATGGTTTCTTCTTTCTCTATTCTGTCAACGGAGGGGACCTCCAATGTAGGACCAAAACCAAACCAAACTCATTGCTGTTGAATCGGAGCTGCCTCATAGGGACCCCTCCTTGGGTTTCTGAGGCAATATCACTAAGGAAGCTAAACCTACCTTCTGAGGAGTGGCTGGTGGGTTTGAACTGCCAGCCTTCTGGTTAGCGGTCACATGCCTCAGGCACTACACCACCAGAGTTCCTAAAACTAAGACAGTTGCCTCAGTTCATTGTACCCTAGGGATGGCTCTGTTTGTAATTATTTTAAATGGAATATTGGTTAAGTGCTGGTGTAGTTACCTAGCTAGAGAAAGGGTGTGAGGGCAGCATCTGACTGCCCCTGACTTCCCTACGGGAGAGAGAATCACCATCAGCAAGGCTTATCCTGTGAGGCAGAGGCCAGACATGCCGCCAGCCTTTTGCCAGCTCTGACACCAACCATGCCTCCCCCGGCACTCTTCTGCTCTGCTGGGTTCGGTGATTATTTATGCTGTGTACATTGAACACCCAGACAATACTCATGTTTATGGGGTTTATTAGGGAAGTAACAGGTTACAATTTAGGGTCAGAAACAACTCAGGATACAGTTCTTCACTCAGGGCAGCTGTTTCTCAGCCGTGCTGCAGGCACACTTCTCTCAGGCATGGTCTCTACCCTGCTCAGGCCATGGTGGCAAAGCTCTTTTAGCTTTGTTGGTAGGCCCCAGAGAGCCACCCCACTGTGCCAGCAAGCCTGCTGCCCAAAGGCTTTCAGCTTTCTTGCTCCGTGGGCTGGGAAGCCCACTAGTCTGTCTTATGCTGGTCTCTTGGTCCTGCTGCCACCATCTCTCTGCACAGGGATCTCGGGTCCAAGGACATGCTGTGCTCCTGGTTCTTCTCTTGATGATAGTGAGATCCCCCTTTCCGCCTGTAGGATGGTTAATTTTAAGCCTAGCAAGATGGCAAAACTGCCCAATACCCATGTTAGGGTTCCATACACATTATTTATATGGTCCTACCTTCGGAAGGAAGATGGGGCAATCTACTTCTGTAGTGATACTGCCTCGGAAACCCAAGGAGGGCTCGCTATGAGTCGGGGCTGACTGGACGGCATATAACAACAACCACCACCGTCCTAAGGGTACCATCTACTTTTTATGTTGTTAGCAAACTATTCAGTCCCATTGGTGGGCTACAAGCACCTTGCATTTACGTAGTTCTACCCAGTTATTTAGGAGCTCTGGTAGCACAGTGCCTAAGGTACTTGACTGCTAACCAGAAGGCTGGTGGTTCAAACCCACCAGCAACTCCTCGGAAGGAAGGTTGGGCAGTCTACTTCTGTAGTGATACTACCTCGGAAACCCAAGGAGGGGTTGCTATGAGTCAGAGCTGACTCAACAGCAAACAAGAACAACAACCAGTTATTGGAGGGAGTTCCAAAGACTGTGGCTGGAAGAGCTATATCAAGTAATCGACTGTACTGCCCTAGTGCTGCTGTAACAGAAATACTGCAAATGAGTGGCTTCAACAAACAAATTTATTTTCTCACAGTGTAGGAAACTAGAAGTCCAAATTCAGGGGGAATTTCCCTCTAGGGGAAAGGCTTTCTTTCTCTGTCACCTCTGCAGGAAGGTCTTTGTATTTTCTGCTTTTGCCTCCTCCTTCCTTGGCGATCTCCATATGTCTTGGCATGTGTCTTACCCATCTCTCCTCTGTTAGCTTGTTTAATCTCCTATCTCAAAAGAGATTGACTCAAAATACTCCCTATGCTAATTCTTCCTTGTAAACATAACAAAGACCTCCATACCCAAATGGAATTATAACCAGAGCCATAGAGGTTAGGATTTACAAACACTTTTTAGGGACATAATTCAATCCATAACAAGTGCCATTGGATAGCATAATGAGAAATAACATTCTAGGCTTTTATAGTTACATAAAAGTTGAACAGATATAATAGAATCTTAACTATTTAACAGTATATTCTTGGGAAGGGAAAGATAGTTAGCTTCTCAGCAGTAGTTACATGTGTAAAATGGATTAATTGAAAGAATAAAGCACTTAACACTTAAAGCCTGGCCACTACAACGTGTAATAAATGCTGTATAGGGGACTAGCAAACTTTTTATATAAAGAGTGAGACAAATATTTTTGGCTTTGCAGGTAACAGGGTTTCTGGTGCACTTACTCAACTCTTCCATTGTAGCATGAAAGTGGCAGTAGGTATGTGATGGAGTAAATTACTTAATAGGGCACCTCTAGAGGAGCCATGGGAGCTCTGGTAGCATAGTGGCTAAGGCACTTGACTGCTAACCAGAAGGCTGGCGGTTCATACCCACCAGCCACTCCTTGGAAGGAAGAAGGGGCAATCTACTTCCATAGTGATACTGCCTCGGAAACCCAAGGAGGGGTCGCTATGAGTCGCGTCTGACTCTATGGCACATAACAACAACAACAACAACAGAGGAGCCATGAGCCATGGTCTTTGTGCCTCCCACCTGATGACTGGGTGGAACTATGTAAATGTGAGGTGCTTGTGGCTCATCAAAGGAATTGGATAGCTTATTAATAATGTAAATAAGGTATATGGACCCTTGCTGGGGTGGGATTATGCAAATGTGGTGGTGGAGGAGGAGGAGGATGCTGTTGAGTCTCTGTACAACAGAGTGAAACACAGCCCGGGCCTGGGCCACCCTACAGCCATTGCTGTCGTTGAGCCATTGTTGCAGCCCCTGTGTCCGTCCATCTCGTTGAGGATCTTCCCCTGCTTTGCTGACCCCCTACTTTACGAAGCATGATACCCTTCTCCGTGGAATGGGCCCTTCTGACAACATGACCAGAGTAGGTGAGACAAAGTCTGGCCATTCTTGCTTCCAAGGAGCATTTTCGCTGCCCTTTTTCGAGGACAGATTTGTTCTTTATTCTGGCAGTTCATGGTATTTTCAGTTTTCTTCGCCAGTACCATAATTCAAAGGCATCAACTCTTCAGTTTTCCTTATTCGTTGTCCGGCTTTCACATGCATGTGAGGTGACTGAAAATACCATGGCTTGGGTTAGGCACACCTTAGTCTTCAAAGTGACATCTTTGCTTCTTAACACTTTAAATATGTCTTTTACAGCAGATTTGCATGGTGCAATACAGCATCTGATTTCTTGACTAGGTTGTTTCCATGGGTATTGATTATGGATCCAAGTAAAATGAGATCCCTGACAACTTCAGTCCTTTCTCCATTTATCAAGATATTCCTTATTAGTCTAGTAGTGAGGATTTTTGTTATCTTTATGTTGAGGTGTGATCCATACGGAAGGCTGTAGTTTTTGATCTTCATCTTTAAATAAGGTGTATGGGACGCTAATGTGAGCATTGGCCAGTTTTGCCATCTTGTTAGGCTTAAACTGAGCCATCCCTGTGCTGGAGTTCCTTGGCAGAGAGATGGCAGCAGCAGAACTGAGAGAGAGGCAGGAGACAGAGCAGCAGGCTTACTAGCTATGGAGCAAGAAAGCTGAGTGCCTTTGGGACTTGCTGGCGGAGTAGGGTATACCTAAAAGAACTTTGTAACAACTATCTGAGCAGGGAAGCACTCAGGCTGAGAGGCCAAGGGCCAAAGAGAGGCATGTTTTATGGGCATGGCAGAGGGGAGGCTGTTCTGACTGAAGAATTGTATTATGAGTGTTCCTTCCCTAATGATCATGAGTATTGTCTGTGAGTTCTATGTGGCCATTGAGACGAATTACCAAACCCAGCAAAGAAGTAGAGAGTGCTATGGAGGAACAGTTGTTGTCAAAATTAGTAAAAAGACTGGAGGGTGGTGGCATGTCTTGCTATTGATGTTCTTCTTAAGCAGTTTACACTGTATTGAGAAGGAAATGTGTAAAGAAAGAAGTGAAGCTGTGGTATACCAGTTAAAATAACGTTGTGTCGGGAATATGAGGAAATTGGTCCCAGAAGGGGTGATATTGAAGCTTAGTCTCTGAAATGGGAGCAGTTGATAAACAGAGGCTTGGAGGTGTAAGGAATGAAGGTTCTCGAAACTCATCATTCTGGTTTGTTGTTTCAGTATCCGTATATTCCCGCACATATTACAAAGCCTAAGGAACATAAGAAGTTGTTTCTGGTGCAGCTTCAAGAGAAAGGTACGTTACTTGATTTTTTATGACAGCCATCTGAAAACTTTTGTAGAGTAATTTCATGGATACTTATGTTTTCTCTGAGTTACTTAACTTTTTGGACTTTTATTATAAAACTTAGACTATCCAGAATTACCTAGTTTTTCTCCTAGATATGCTACAGAGGGAAAAAGTAATTTGACTAAACTTAAAATATCAATGTATGGTCAAATTTTAAAATCATTATTTAGCTACTGGTATTGTTTTCTGTAAGAAGCATTATTACTATTGACTGATAAATTACTGAAAATTTTAGGGAACGAATGAATGTTTTTAAAAAATTTGAGTACCAATTTTAAACCTGCTGTGAGTTTTAACAAGTAATGATTCCATTTCTTACAGTAGTCTTGTAGTGGAATCCAAAATAAATTACAAACCCCAGATACTCTCCTTGTCCCCTTTCTCCCATTGCTTATAAGGTGCTCATTGTTATTAATACAAAAACCAAAGCTACTGCCATTGAATTGATTCTAACTAACAGTGACCTTAGGAGGCACCTGACTGCTCACCAGAAGGCTGGCGGTTCAAACCC